ATAAGGCTTTAAAAATATTTAAATTAATATATTTGCTTTATTTACCTTGATGTACTATGGTGATGGAATAATATAAACAGGTAAAAAAATAGAGTTTGCCTCCATCAATGACCTCATGGATTTTGAACTGGTTAATGGCAAGTGAGGAGGAGGCAAAAAACAAGGTGGAGGATTTATAGAACCAAGAAAGCTAACCCAGCTTTGAAGAAAATGCAATAGGACCTCCAATGAAACAAAAAGCAGCTTCCTGGGACTTGATTCGTCCTCAAGTTCAGCAGAGTCTGACTCGACATCAGGGACAAGTCCAGACAGGGCAAAGCCTGAAAGCACAAACATATCTGTTGGCTCTCAACTGACCACGCCACTCCCCTATTAAATGACACCTTTCAGTGCACCTGCACTGCCTGATAAATAACATGCCAGCGCCTTCACCTGGCTGAAGGGTCCTCCAGGCTAAGACTTGCCTCTCTGGGCCTCCCTCCTCCAGTAAGTGTCCCCATGGCACTCACCAGGCTGCTTCTATTTCCTTATGTGAGCTCCCTGCAGGAAGGCCCTGCTCTCAGTTTTACACAGCTCACTTATTCATGGTCAGTATCTCCCTGAAATCCTTTCCAGATGGCCAGGGATATATCTTTATTTTATTGAACCTTCTACATTACAATGACCAGTTTATGTAACTGGTTCCTTTATGACACTGTGAGTTATTGAGGGCAGTGGCTACGTCTCATTCATTTTAAGAAACCCGCGTACTTAGCATAGCCGACTAGTGAAAGTTTGTGAGAGAAAATAAAATGCCCTAAAGCAGGGACTAAGGCTCATGGGACTATTTTGTAGTGGTGAAGTGCCCGAGTGGGGTTGAAAGCAAGAATTTCCAATAGACTAACGGAAACAAGCCTGGTAATCCCCTTCTAATAGGGTGGTTGGAAAACGTAAATGAAATCAGGCATACAAAGCTGAGTTCTTCCCTCACCCCCACCACATGTGTGTCTACTCTCAAATACCACGCCCAGTACAACCAGTGACAATAAGCGAAATCTGTTTCCCCAAGACGTGTTTAATTGCAAGAATAGAGGTAAAATCAACTCTCGATAAACATCAAACTATGGTTTCACGTCGCAAGAGCCCGCTGCTTTCTTTTTCTCTTTTAGCCACAGCATTTCTGGATTTCTTCCGCGAGCCACAAGCAGTGCAGGATGCGTTTCTTTTCAGCAGCCAGTTCCACTTCAGAAATCTGGCCCAAGAGTTTCTGGACAAATATAGTCTGATCTTTCAGAAAAATATTCCTATTATCTCCTACATTTGGCACATTCTCCAGGGACCCAGATTTGAAATGGAAGCTTAAATGCCGGTTTCGTTTTAGACCAGGCCCTTTCTCCTCAATCCATGTCAGTGGGCTGCAAAAACAGAAGAACCATGATGTTAGACAGTACACGGGGGCACCAGGGATTGCCTGCTGCTCTCCGAGGTGGCTAAGGTGGCAACCCAACCTCCACCAGCCCTCCTGGGAACAGGTCCTCGTTTTGTAGCCACCTTCCTGCAGCTGCTGCTCCCCGAGGTGGCTAAGGTGGCAACCCAACCTCCACCAGCCTCCCAAAGGTCATGGATGATCATTTCCAACTTTAGTGCCAAACAGTCCTTTAATTTTGCCACAGACAGGGGAATTCATGCAATGCTTTTTGTGAACACCACTTTGTTATTCAGGAGTTTTTACTCTGAGTCTTATAGGTCCCTCTAGGGGAGACAGATAGGAACTACAGGCAATCCATGAAGCACCTGAGATTTTGTGAAAATTCTTCCCATGCGTATGTGCATTTTTATGGGAAAGGATTCCTTCGTTACATTCTCAAAGAAGACCATGACACCAGCACATGCCAGACAAAAACATGAGTGAATTCTAGCAATTGTACAACAGGGTTTCAAGTAACGATCCCTGTCTTGCTAGTTCTTCTGTTGTGGCCTTTGAAGATCATGCTTCCCCTTCTCCCCATCTCCTGCTGTGGCTCTGCTCCATGCCACTCTGCTGTTTGGAGACAGCTGCAACTTAACAATTTGTATCTGGAAACAACCAACAGAGGCTTCTCATGTGCAGTGACAAGGCCTGGAAAAATATCTACTTATAAAATCTGGCCTGCAGACTAAGAAAAGATCTGAGGGGAAAAGAGAAAAGTGGCTCGCAGATCCCAAAGCATTCTTCCCAGGCAGAGTCAGAAGCAAGAGCTGCACGCACAGGATAAAAGGCTTTCCTCACACAGCACACTACCCCACAGGGTCAGTAAACCATGCAGGGAGGGACCCATCTGCTTAAAGAACTGTAGTTCAGCAAGTTGCCAGTTCTGGAAGCCATTAACATGATCCATGTGTGAATAAACACCAACCCATAAATGCGATGTTCACATTCAGGTCAGGCAAAGACTCTAGTGAACAGTAATTAAATTAAATTAGTAAACTTGTAAGGTGTTCAAATCTATCAACTGAAATTTTTTTGGTTGACTCAAATGAAAAAAAATACATGATTATTATAAACTCTATCAAAAAGTTGGTATAAATTCTTCTAAAAAGTTAATTTTAGCCATAGCCTGTTTGGCTCAGTGGATAGAACGTCAGCCTGTGGACTGAAAGGTCCCAGGTCCGATTCTGTTCAAGGGCACATGCCTGGGTTGCAGGCTCGATCCCCAGTAGGGGGCATGCAGGAGGCAGCCGATCAATGATTCTCTCTCATCATTGATGTTTCTATCTCTCTCTTCCTCTCTGAAATCAATAAAAATATATTTAAAAAACAGTTAATTTCATAGCTAGATTTTTAGGATTTTGTTTTGTGTTGGCTTTATTGAGGTAGAGATGACAAGTGACATGATATTAGTGTCAGCCTGTGGCTAGCTTTAAAACTCATGATACAGCCTTCACAAACATTCCAGAATGTGATGACAAAGATGAATATAAATGCTCCTTATTAACTGCTTTAACACCAGACAAAAACCACTTGAGATACTCCAAATATTCTAATCTACCTAAGAGAATTTCTCAGACCCCTCCATGTAACACACAGCCTTAGAATTTGAGGGGACACACAATGTCAGGATGTTTCCTCCACTTCAACTTCCTAACGGTAAAAATAAATAACGAGTACACATCTTTACCTACGTTGTGGTGGTGATGGTGGTGAAATTAAAAATGCCATTTGTGAGGTGGAGAGTATTACATGCATTAAAAAACTGTAGTATTTGCCACCTGCCCAACCTTCACCCAATGCTTTGCAATGAGAGTCAGCTCTTGTTTCCTGTCTTATTCCCACTCCACGACGGAGCACAGCACCTCCTCCTCTAAGAAGCACGATCTAACCCAGGGGTCCTCAAACTACGGCCCGTGGGCCACATGAAAATACAAATATTGTATTTGTTCCCGTTTTGTTTCTTTACTTCAAAATAAGATATGTGCAGTGTGCATAGGAATTTGTTCATAGTTTTTTTTTAAACTATAGTCCGGCCCTCCAACGGTCTGAGGGACAGTGAACTGGCCCCCTGTTTAAAAAGTTTGAGGACCCCTGATTTATAGGAACTCATACAACTTAACAAAAGGAAGATAAACAACCCAATCAAAAAATGGGCAACAGACCTAAATAGATACTTTTTGAAAGAGGACATAAAGAAGGCCAAGAGATATATGAAAATATGCTCAAAGTCACTAATCATCCAAGAGATGCATATCAAAATGACAATGCAGTACCATCTCACACCTGTCAGAATGGCTATCATCAACAAATCAACAAACGACAAGTGCTGGAGAGCATGTGGGGGAAAAGGAACCCTCCTTCACTGCTGGTGGGAATGCAGACTGGTGCAGCCACTGTGGAAGACAGTATAGAATTTCCTCAGAAAACTAAATATGAAACTCCCATTTGACCCAGTGATCCCACTTTTAGGAATATATCCCAAGAAGCCAGAAACACCAATCAGAAAGGATATATGCACCCCTATGCTCATAGCAGCACAATTCACCATAGCTAAGATTTGGAGACAGCCTAAGTGCCCATCAGTAGATAGTGGATTAAAAACTGTGGTAAATCTACACAATGGAATACTGTGCTGCTATAAAAAAGAAGGAACTCCTACCATTGCAACAGCATGGATGGAATTGGAGAGCATTATGCTAAGCGAAATAAGCCAGTCAGAGAAAGATAAATATCACATGATCTCACTCATTTGTGGATTATAAGAAACAACATAAACTGATAAACAAAAACAGATTCAGAGACAGAGAAGCATCGATCAGATGCTCGAACCTCAGAGGGGAAGGTAGAGGAGGATGGAGGTAAGGGGGAGAGATCAACCGAAGGACTTGTATGCATGCATATAAGCCTAACCAATGGACACAGACATCAGGGGGGTGAGGGCATGCACCTGGCTGAAGGGTCCTCCAGGCTAAGACTTGCCTCTCTGGGCCTCCCTCCTCCAGTAAGTGTCCCCATGGCACTCACCAGGCTGCTTCTATTTCCTTATGTGAGCTCCCTGCAGGAAGGCCCTGCTCTCAGTTTTACACAGCTCACTTATTCATGGTCAGTATCTCCCTGAAATCCTTTCCAGATGGCCAGGGATATATCTTTATTTTATTGAACCTACTACATTACAATGACCCGGTTTATGTAACTGGTTCCTTTATGACACTGTGAGTTATTGAGGGCAGTGGCTACGTCTCATTCATTTTAAGAAACCCACGTACTTAGCATAGCCGACTAGTGAAAGTTTGTGAGAGAAAATAAAATGCCCTAAAGCAGGGACTAAGGCTCATGGGACTATTTTGTAGTGGTGAAGTGCCCGAGTGGGGTTGAAAGCAAGAATTTCCAATAGACTAACGGAAACAAGCCTGGTAATCCCCTTCTAATAGGGTGGTTGGAAAACGTAAATGAAATCAGGCATACAAAGCTGAGTTCTTCCCTCACCCCCACCACATGTGTGTCTACTCTCAAATACCACGCCCAGTACAACCAGTGACAATAAGCGAAATCTGTTTCCCCAAGACGTGTTTAATTGCAAGAATAGAGGTAAAATCAACTCTCGATAAACATCAAACTATGGTTTCACGTCGCAAGAGCCCGCTGCTTTCTTTTTCTCTTTTAGCCACAGCATTTCTGGATTTCTTCCGCGAGCCACAAGCAGTGCAGGATGCGTTTCTTTTCAGCAGCCAGTTCCACTTCAGAAATCTGGCCCAAGAGTTTCTGGACAAATATAGTCTGATCTTTCAGAAAAATATTCCTATTATCTCCTACATTTGGCACATTCTCCAGGGACCCAGATTTGAAATGGAAGCTTAAATGCCGGTTTCGTTTTAGACCAGGCCCTTTCTCCTCAATCCATGTCAGTGGGCTGCAAAAACAGAAGAACCATGATGTTAGACAGTACACGGGGGCACCAGGGATTGCCTGCTGCCTCCTGGGAACAGGTCCTCGTTTTGTAGCCACCTTCCTGCAGCTGCTGCTCCCCGAGGTGGCTAAGGTGGCAACCCAACCTCCACCAGCCTCCCAAAGGTCATGGATGATCATTTCCAACTTTAGTGCCAAACAGTCCTTTAATTTTGCCACAGACAGGGGAATTCATGCAATGCTTTTTGTGAACACCACTTTATTATTCAGGAGTTCTTACTCTGAGTCTTATAGGTCCCTCTAGGGGAGACAGATAGGAACTACAGGCAATCCATGAAGCACCTGAGATTTTGTGAAAATTCTTCCCATGCGTATGTGCATTTTTATGGGAAAGGATTCCTTCGTTACATTCTCAAAGAAGACCATGACACCAGCACATGCCAGACAAAAACATGAGTGAATTCTAGCAATTGTACAACAGGGTTTCAAGTAACGATCCCTGTCTTGCTAGTTCTTCTGTTGTGGCCTTTGAAGATCATGCTTCCCCTTCTCCCCATCTCCTGCTGTGGCTCTGCTCCATGCCACTCTGCTGTTTGGAGACAGCTGCAACTTAACAATTTGTATCTGGAAACAACCAACAGAGGCTTCTCATGTGCAGTGACAAGGCCTGGAAAAATATCTACTTATAAAATCTGGCCTGCAGACTAAGAAAAGATCTGAGGGGAAAAGAGAAAAGTGGCTCGCAGATCCCAAAGCATTCTTCCCAGGCAGAGTCAGAAGCAAGAGCTGCACGCACAGGATAAAAGGCTTTCCTCACACAGCACACTACCCCACAGGGTCTGTAAACCAAGCAGGGAGGGACTCATCTGCTTAAAGAACTGTAGTTCAGCAAGTTGCCTGTTCTGGAAGCCACTAACATGATCCATGTGTGAATCAACACCAACCCATAAATGCGATGTTCACATTCAGGTCAGGCAAAGACTCTAGTAAACAGTAATTAAATTAAATTAGTAAACTTGTAAGGTGTTCAAATCTATCAACTGAAATTTTTTTGGTTGACTCAAATGAAAAAAAATACATGATTATTATAAACTCTATCAAAAAGTTGGTATAAATTCTTCTAAAAAGTTAATTTTAGCCATAGCCTGTTTGGCTCAGTGGATAGAACGTCAGCCTGTGGACTGAAAGGTCCCAGGTCCGATTCTGTTCAAGGGCACATGCCTGGGTTGCAGGCTCGATCCCCAGTAGGGGGCATGCAGGAGGCAGCCGATCAATGATTCTCTCTCATCATTGATGTTTCTATCTCTCTCTTCCTCTCTGAAATCAATAAAAATATATTTAAAAAACAGTTAATTTCATAGCTAGATTTTTAGGATTTTGTTTTGTGTTGGCTTTATTGAGGTAGAGATGACAAGTGACATGATATTAGTGTCAGCCTGTGGCTAGCTTTAAAACTCATGATACAGCCTTCACAAACATTCCAGAATGTGATGACAAAGATGAATATAAATGCTCCTTATTAACTGCTTTAACACCAGACAAAAACCACTTGAGATACTCCAAATATTCTAATCTACCTAAGAGAATTTCTCAGACCCCTCCATGTAACACACAGCCTTAGAATTTGAGGGGACACACAATGTCAGGATGTTTCCTCCACTTCAACTTCCTAACGGTAAAAATAAATAACGAGTACACATCTTTACCTACGTTGTGGTGGTGATGGTGGTGAAATTAAAAATGCCATTTGTGAGGTGGAGAGTATTACATGCATTAAAAAACTGTAGTATTTGCCACCTGCCCAACCTTCACCCAATGCTTTGCAATGAGAGTCAGCTCTTGTTTCCTGTCTTATTCCCACTCCACGACGGAGCACAGCACCTCCTCCTCTAAGAAGCACGATCTAACCCAGGGGTCCTCAAACTACGGCCCGTGGGCCACATGAAAATACAAATATTGTATTTGTTCCCGTTTTGTTTCTTTACTTCAAAATAAGATATGTGCAGTTATGAATTTTAAAACTGTGGTATTTGCCACCTGCCCAACCTTCACCCAATGATTTGCAATGAGAATCAGCTCTTGTTTCCTGTCTGATTCCCACTCCACGACCCAGCACAGCACCTCCTCCTCTAAGAAGCACGATCTGACCTCTCCAGGTGCCCGTTCCCTGCACTCCTGCAGCACCCTGAGCTACCTTTAGCTCTGCACACAGGGGACAGCACCTGCCAGTGGACACGGCTGCAATTCCACGTGACCAGCATCAGAGCCAGGGCCACCCTCTGCATGTTTCACCGTCATCTGTTCCCTCTGCCTTTTCCTAGCAAAGAGGAGACTCCTCAAAATGGACATCAGGTTTCACTCAGGAAATAAAATAAGTTTCTCTTTTTTTTAAATACCCCAATGGTCTGTTTATTTTACTCCCAAGAGATCCACCTACCTGGAAATACACATAGGAACTCTAAAACCTGAGCTGTTTTAAATATTTTACAGAGCTGAAATACTTTTAAAGGAAATTTATAAATGTGTTTGTTTGTTTTTTTAAAATATATTTTATTGATTTTTTACAGAGAGGAAGGGAGAGGGATAGAGAGTCAGAAACATCGATGAGAGAGAAACATCGATCAGCTGCCTCCTGCACACTCCCCACAGGGGATGTGCCCACAACCAAGGTACATGCCCTTGACTGGAATCGAACCTGGGACCTTTCAATCCATAGGTCGATGCTCTATCCACTGAACCAAACCAGTTAGGGCTATAAATGTGTTTTTGTTGAAAAAGACTTGGTATGAGAAATAATCAGAATATTTGGGGAACAGTATGACAGTATGATGTGATGATAAATAAACAGAACCTTAAATTTTGATCACACTGAGAGACGAATTTTGGACATGTGATAAGCAAGCAAGGTAACATATTAATGGCAGGATCTAGGTGGTATTTGTAAGGGTGTTCACTGCAAAATTCTTTCAACCTCACCATATGTCTGAAACTTTTATAATAAAACTAGAGGCCCAGTGCACGAAAATTCATGCACTGGTGGGGAGGGTCCCTCAGCCTGGCCTTCTCCCTCTCACAGTCTGGGAGTCCTTAGGGGATGTCCTATTGTGGAGGTGACCGGGCCGGCCGATCAGGGGATGGCGCTGCCTCCATCACCCCGCTGCTGCCACCCATCACCCCACTGCTGTGGTGCACGAAAACTCGTGCACTGGTGGGGAGGGTCCCTCAGCCCGGCCTGCTCCCTCTCAGAGTCTGGGAGTCCTTAGGGGATGTCTTACTGAGGAGGCGACTGGGCCAGCCGATCAGGGGATGGCGCTGCCCCCATCACCCCGCTGCTGCCACCCATCACCCCACTGCTGCCATCTAGCCTCCTTCTGTAGGAGGTGACTGGAGGGGCGATTAGGGGTTGGCACCACCCCCATCACCCCGCCAACTGCTGCCACCTGGCCTCTCTCTGTGGGAGGCAACCGGACAGGCTGATTAGGGGACAGTGTCAGCCCCCCCAGGGCCCCCCCATTGCCCCTCCGCCGCCGCTGGCCGCCGTCCCCACCCCCATCACCATTCTCTCCCTCTGCCCACTGGCATGTGCCTTGCTGGCCTGGCACCACCTGCTCGCTGGCTCTTCCCCACCCGCCGACTGGTTGTTCCACAGTTCGGTCAATTTGCATATTGCACTTTTATTATATAGGATTTTGGGAAATATTCAGGCCACAGAAGCTACTAGGTCTGATATTGCTCACTTGTATGGCTCAGGCAACCTGCTCAAATTCTGTAAGTCTGTTTACTTACTAGCCAAGGGTATCATGTTTGTCTTATTTATCTTTCAAGGCTTCTGTGAGGATGAAATAGAGCAATATACGTGAAATCTCAGTAACTGTCCTGTTAGCAAAAGCAGGCAGCCCTTCTGGGGTTGGGGCTAAGGGTGTAGGCCCACCAGGTTCCCTCTAGATTCACCCTGATGAACACGGGAGAATGTCCTTAAGTTTCCTTCTCTTCACGGTTTCCCACAACCTACCGTTTGTTCTCTGTCTCCAAGCACACAGTCATTTTCAGGTACTGATCTTCCTTTCGCTCTTCCAAAGTGGCAGACACAAGAGAAAGTTCCCCGAAGAGAGAGACGAGCCAGGTCAGGCGAGAAATGCCACTGAAAGCAGGGAAACCAAACCGCTCTTCTTCCAATGGGCCAGCTGTGGGAATTACAAACACGGTGAGAAGCAGGAAGCAAAGGACTGACAGCTGGAGAGCAGGGGCGGGGCACACATGGGTATGGTAGGGAGTAACCCCTGTGGCTGGTGACCAGGACAGCACAGCCTCGCCTTACCACATGGGGTGCAAGATGACGAATCACACTGATGAAAACTCAGGTGCTTGAATGTAAACCCTTTCATAAAAGTGTCTCAATTTTTTCTTGTTTATTAGATTTGGTTTTGTTAGTATAATAAAACATTTTATTGGGAACAGCAGTCCATCTAGTCCACGGGCTAATAAAAATGTTTCAGATTTCTAATATGTATGTGCACATATACTATACACAGACACATATATACCAATACATAAGTATCCTCATCAGTTAGTGAGTTGAAGAAGTAAGAAATCAACATATTCAGCTCAAGTCTTATGTTCATATATGTACAATCTAACTATCTGTATACATGGCAAGAAGGTAAAAGTTTCATGATAACTGTGAAGAATACGATAATATCCAGAAACTATGTCAACATCAAGAAAATTGACATAGCCGAAACCGGTTTGGCTCGGTGGGTAGAGCGTCGGCCTGCGGACTGAAAGGTCCCAGGTTCGATTCCGGTCAAGGGCATGTACCTGGGTTTCGGGCACATCCCCAGTAGGGTGTGTGCAGGAGGCAGCTGATCGATGTTCCTCTCTCATCGATGTTTCTAACTCTCTATCTCTCTCCCTTCCTCTCTGTAAAAACTCAATAAAATACATTAAAAAAAAAAAGAAAATTGACATAGTGGTAAGTGTTTTCTTAATCTACTTTCCTGAACAAAATTATATTTAAGAGTATCTGTGTGATATATCTATTCAAGATATAGCTCCTCTTTTCCTCAGCCTAAATTTTAAACATAACCTAGATTTAAAAGACTTCATATCCATTACATTGCTCTATAAACCAAATCTTTCTTATAATTTTGATACCAAAGATAAATTATAAATGAAAGCAAACAGACTTCCCTTCACTATGGTGGAATAGGTCATTGCTATACTCGTCTCCTCCCATTGCTGCATCAAAATTACAACAAAATTATAGAAGACCCATCGTTGAGAAACACCTGAAGAATAGCTGAACAGAACTCCTAGAACTAAGGGTATAAAGAAGAAGCCACCGGAGACTTGTGGGAGAGGCAGAGACCTGGTCTGGACAGGCCCCACATCCATGTTGTGGAGTTAAGAAGTGAGAGGGCTCTCTCAGCTGTGGAGAACCCCTGAGGAGCAAGCAGTCCCAGCCCCACACCAGGCTCCCCAGCCTAAGGCTTCAGAGCCCGGAAACAAAGCCCCCACAACTTCTAACTGTGGGGATGGCAGTGCGTGAGATGAAGGGCTGTTGGAGACCTATGCACAGACTCACTTACTTAAACGCAATTTGTTCTGATCTCCAGCACTGGGGCAGCAGCATGAAAAGTGCCAGGGACATACGGGGGCGGGGGGCTGGATTTACTAACTTTAGGGTGAGGGCTGGAGGGGCAGGGGTTAGGGTGGCTCAATACAAGGACAGAAGTGCTGGTGGACACCATCGTTCCTTTGTTGAGTCCTCCCCACACCCAGCCTGGAGCTCAACAGGCACAATATCTAAGCTATCCACTAAACTACTTAACACCAATCACCCTTCCCTGGTGATTCCCTGAATCCTGACCGACCAAAATCATGCTCCTGCCCCAACCTCTTTCCCAAACAGACTGGCCACCTCATGTCGCAGTGTGCATGTTTCTGAAATACCTCTAAAGTTCAAAAATACCAAACAAGTCGCATCTGGCCCCAGCAGGCCCATTACTACTTGCTAAGCTGCCTTAAACAAGAAACTAGTGGAAGCTGGATCAGTTCTCTACTTAGCCTCTCCCAGGTGCCTCCAAGCCAAGCACAGGTGGCAACCTTCTGCAGATCACTTTGTACCTCTGACCAGGTAGCCCTGGGCAGGACACAGGCAGTGGCTGACCTTGGCCCGAACCAGAGCCTCCCCACCACCCCCCCGCAAAGGCCCCAGAAGCACTATACCTGGTGGCCAGGTTCAGAACAAAACAAAGGACCACCCAACCAGCCCCACAAATGCCAAACCCTAAAGGCAGGTTCAGCAGGAGCAGAGCCCCGCTAAAACAAATTCCACTCCACGGGCCAGCCCCTGCACAACAGCTCACCTGCTGTAGCCACAGACATTCCCCATTGCCTGTCAGCCTCAGGGTAAACCCCTCCCACTGACATCACAATAGCAATAAAGACTCAACTACCACCAAGTGCACACAACCCACACAAAGGAAAGACCTAGAGAACCCAACCAGGTGACAGGGAGACTGTACCACTGGGCCCCGCAGGACACGTACCACATAAGGCCATTCTTCTAAGAGCAGGAAATGTAGCAGATCAACCTAATACAGAGAGGCAGCATAAGTAAGGAGAGAAAGAACTATGCCCCAAATGGAAAAAACCTCCAGAAAAAGAACTTAATGAAATGGAGACAAGCAATCTAACAGGTGCAGAGTTCAAAACACCGGTTATAAGGATGCTCAGTGAAATTAGGGGAAGAGAGATGAACCCACTGAGAACTTCAACAGAGAATAAACATAAAAATGAAAATATAAAAACAAGCCAACGAGTAATGAAGAACACAATAACTGAAATGAAGAACATGAATCAATGGTAGACCAAATGAAGCAGAGGTTCAAGTCAGCTTAGAAAGACAAAGAAAAAACATCCCATCTGAACAGCAAAAAGAAAAAAGAATCAAATAAATAAGGACAGATTAAGAAACTTCTAGGACAACATCAAGCATACCAACATGTGTTCACAGAGGTACTAGAGAGAGAAGAAAGACAGCAAAACCTACGAAGCCAATGAGTAATGAAGAACACAATAACTGAAATGAAGGACACGAATCAACAGTAGACCAAATGAAGCAGAGGTTCAAATCAGCTTAGAAAGACAAAGAAAAAACATCCAATCTGAATAGCAAAAAGAAAAAAGAATCAAATAAATAAGGATAGATTAAGAAACTTCTAGGACAACATCAAGCATACCAACATGTGTTCACAGAGGTACTAGAGAGAGAAGAAAGACAGCAAAACCTATTTGAAAAAATAATAATGGAAAATTTTTCTAATCTGGTGAAGGAAATACACATACAAGTTCAGGGAGCACAGAGTGTCCCAAACATAAAATCCTAAACAACTCAGACCAGCACAAATCATAATTAAAATGCCAAAAGTTGAAGATAAATTACCCCCAATAAGGGGGTAATTTCCAAAATATATAAAGAACGTATACAATTCAACATCAGGAAGACAAACAATCCAATTAAAAAATGGGCAAAGGACCTGAATAGACACTTCTCCAAAGAGGACATACACATGGCCAATAGACATGTGAAAAAAAATGCTCAAAGTCAGTAATCATCAGAGAGATGCAAATTAAAACTACAATGAGGTACCACCTCACACCTGTCAGAATGGCTACTATCAATAAATTAAGAAACAAATACTGGCGAGGATGTGGAGAAAAGGGAACCCTTGTGCACTGCTGGTGGGAATACAGACTGGAGTAATCACTGTGGTAAACAGTATGGAGTTTCATCAAAAATTAAAAATGGAATTGTCTGTTGACCCAGTGATCCCACTTCTGGGAATATATGCTAAGAATCCTAAAACACTAATCAGAATTTTTGCATCCCCATGTTTATAACAGCATTGTTTACAATAGTCAAGATCTAGAAACAGCCTAAGTGCCCATCAGTAGATGAGTGGATAAAAAAGCTATGGCACATTTACACAATGTGGCTATATAAAAGAAGGAACTGTTATCCTTTAGGACAGCATGGGTATACCTGGAGATTATTATGCTAAGCCAAATAAGCCAGTCAAAGGAAGACAAATGCTATAAGATCTCTCTAATATGTGGGATATAAGCAACAAAATTAACCAAGGAACAAAATGGAATCAGAAGCATGGACACACAGCACATACTGGCTGATGTCTGAGGGGGTGTGGGTGGGAGTGACTGTCTAAAGGAGATGAAGGGATTAACTAAAGAAAACATTATATATATATATATTCCATGGACCCAGACAATAGTTTGATGAAGCACAAGGGAGGGGGAGGCGGGGTGTAGAGGAAAAGGTGGGAGCAAAGGGGGGGAAGGGGGTCACCTCCAATAATATCTACATTAAAAATTTTTAATAGAAACAAACAAAAAAAGATAAATTTAAAAATCACTACCTACTCAATCAATCATTAGACTCCATATATACTAGTAAGTGAGATCATACTGGATTTGTATTTTTCTGATTGGTTTGTTTGATTCAGCATAATAATCACCAGGTCCACCCATACATTTTTGCCAATTGAGAAATGGGGGGAAAAAGCAATGCCAGGCCGCATCAGGGTTTTACTTCTTTCATGAAAGCTCTCAGGGAAGGTGGCCAGACAAGGAACCCAGGTAAGGGTGTGGAAAGACAAGGTGTCCATCCAAAGGCGACTACAAGAGGAGGCGGCTCCAGGAGGCTCATTTCCTGTTACTAATGGAGGTGCTTAAAGAACTACCAAGACAGAATAAACAGCCAAATATATAGTAGATCCAAATTTTGGCCACAGTCAATGTCCCAGTAACTTGTGGGAGGAAAGGGGGGCTAGCATATTCTATTTGCTCCACAAAGAGACATTCTCCTCTCCAAGAACCTTTCCCTTCATCCTTTTTTAAAAGAGAGGTTTCACTTTCAACTTCCTGTGAAAAAATAATCTCCAGCTTGTTAAGATTTCATGAGGCAAAACTCTGCTTAGTAGACGGGGACAGTGGCCTAACAATGCTTACGATTTCTAATACACTTTTACCCAAGCACACCAAGCAATTCAGTCTCATTTGAGAACAAAAAGAAAAATTAGATAATTTTATTGTTTGTAGGTGCATAATAAATTAAACTGGCCTCAGTCAGAGAGTCTTTAGTAGAAATAAATCCAAGCTCACCCTCTAGAGAGCTAGGAAATAACCATCTGGCATCCTGGCCCCACCAGTTACACGTGACCTGTGATCCCACCTAAAACTGACCTGTGAAGAGAAGAGACCCTTTCAGCAGGTCTTTCCCCACCACTTCTTTTTTCAGGAACGCAAACTCCTCCATCAAGAGCTCAATATGTTCCTCATGCAAGACTTTCCCTGTGACGACAAAAATGGAACAGAAAGGCAATCATCATCAATTGCACAGAGCTGTGCATCCCAGAGTATGAATCTGTGTTTCCCCAGCACAGAAGGACATACAGACCTCAAAACCAATTTGGGAACACTACACCTTTAAGCACCCCAGCTGTAGGTAGAGCCAATTCTAAAATTACAACAGGAATAACAATCTAAGAAAGCAAGATTATATCCACCTGCCTCAAAGGCAAGATGAGATCAGGAAAATATCAGAATGGTGTAGCATAAAATTCTAAGACACAAAAAGAAGAAAAGGGGTTGTCGAGATTAAAGGAAAGAAGCTAGAACTAGACTTTATTTCAAAGAATTGAAAAAAAACAGATGACTTTTTAAATTATCTGGGTTAGAGGGAAAATAAAACCTTAATATTTATATGTTTTTTTTAATTCTAAAAGAAAACCATTTAAAATTTTTTGCTCTAATGGCTTTTTCATATCTAAGCCAGGAATTTCATAACAACCCAAACTATTTTGTAATTAAGTGCAAAGTGTGGTTATGATCTACACTTTCATTGAAACAAAGAGAGAAATCTGGGCCATCGGAAGATACTCACCAACCTTTGCTTAACCCAGACTCACAGAAAACACTGCAGAACTTACTGGGCTTGTTCTGCACCTCACTTAGTGGGCGGGAATGTCTTCGGAGTCTCCAGAGAGTGAGGTGTGTGGGAGAGTGAGATTCATCCATCCACTCCTAACCCATAAATAATGTCAGAGCTTCTTACAGTGAACAGACCTTCTCTCCTGTGGGTGATTGCATCACGTGCATGCGCATGAGGGGAGGCTGGGCATCTGGGAAGTTTAACCATGTTTCAGAGCATGTTGTATTCTCTCCAGCACTATTTCTATATTTCCATTTCTGCATTTCCATGTCCATGGTCATTAAGAAAATTTTATCTTTCAACTGCATCTTTGGATGTTTTTCTATCATTCAATTAATGCTCTATTGTGATAAATGTGGCAACCACAGTATACACATGTACACACGAATGCGTGCGCGCGCGTGCACACACACACACACACACACATCCATATACATATTTTCTTTAGGTCAGTTCACTGAAAGGACTTAGGAGCAAAGATAACTGAAAAGAAAAAGCAATGAGCACACCTAGCATATAAATATTGGCATCAAAATATCAATTACTTCCCTATTGGGAATGTAAATTAATGCAGCCTGTGAAAAACAGTACGGAGGTTCCTCAGACAAGTAAAGATAGAACTACCACATGATCCAGCTTCTGGCTATTTATCTGAAGGCAACAAAAACACAAACGTCAAAAGATATGTGCACCCCTATGTTCAATGCAGCATCATTTACAACAGCCAAGACATGGAAAGGATCTAAGTGTCCACTGACGGATGAATGGAAAAAGAAAATGTGATACGCACATACTCAATGGAATATTATTTAGCCATAAAAAGAAAATCTTGCCATTTGAGACAATATTGACCTTGAGGGCATTATACTAAGTAAAATTAGTCAGACAGAGAAAGACAAATATCATATGATTTCACTTATATATGGAATCTAAAATAAAAGGAACAAAAACACTCAACGATACAGAGAAGAGATTGGTGGTTGCCAGAGATAGGAGGTGAGAAGTAGGCAAAGAAGGTAAAAAAGGTGGTCAAAAAGTACAAACTTCCAGTTACAAGATAAATAAGTTTGGGAATGTAATGTACAGCATGGTGACTATAATTAGTACTTACCTGTGTATTTGAAAGTTGCTAAGAAAGTAAATCTTAAAAGTTCTGATACAAAAAAATGATGATGTGTAGTAAGAAATCTTAGCTAGACTTGTGGTGATCACTGCACAATATATATAAGTAATAATTATGTTGTATATCTGAAACTAATATGTTATGTGTCAATCATATCTCAATTTTTTAAAGATTTTAATTAAAAAATACCATTTACCACTAAATGAACTAGGGCTCTTTGAAAAAAATGTCTAGTTGCAGGGCTGAGGTAGAAAAAGTTTACCATGAACATAAACCATTTCAAACAATGACAGAAATATAACAACGTGAGACAAGAAGTAGCATGAAGAGGTCCCCATTGACCGAATATGAAAAAATTTGAATATCAAAATAAACAATGAAAATGGAGTATAGCCCTAACTGGTTTGGCTCAGTGGATAGAGTGTCCGCCTGTGGATTGAAGGGTCCCAGGTTCGATTCCGGTCAAGGGCATGTACCTTGGCTGCGGGCACATCCCCAGTAGGGGGTGTGCAGGAGGCAGCTGATCGATGTTTCTTGCTCATTGATGTTTCTGACTCTCTATCCCTCTCCCTTCCTCTCTGTAAAAAATCAATAAAATATATTTTTTTAAAAAAAGAAAAGAAAATGGACTATAAAAGGAAGCCATACTGATATAAAAACATAAGTAGAAAGTGTGATAAATAATGAATATTACTAGGTTTCAAACTACCTCCCCACAAAATAATCATTAATTATTAATGGGAAAAAATTAACTTTCATTGGAGTAGCCTAGCAGACACCACCTTAATCAAATGATATCATCAATAATGGACAAATTGAAATTGAATGGCACCTGATAGGATGCAATGCAAAAAACATAAGATCACCTCTATGATATTTCTATAAAAGATGCATATCCCAAAAATAATTATGAAAAAATATCAGGCAAACCCAAATTTAGGAACATTATACAAAATAACTGGCTAGTAATCTTTCTAAATACCTAGGAAAGACTGAGGAACTGTCCAGAGCAGAGGTTAAAAGTGACATGACAGGGGATGAGAAGAGATAAACCAAAGAACTTATATACTTACTAGAGGCCTGGTGCATGAATTTGTGCATGGGTGGGGTCTGGCCAGCCCTCCCAGATGGGGGCCCATCGAGCTGGGCTGGCTGGGGGGGAGGAGAGGGGCTGCAGGCGGATGGCCAGCCGGCCCCGCCACCAATCAGGGTGTTGGGGGCCGATAAGGGGGTGATCGGGGCCCAGATCAGGCTGGTTGGCTGCTGCAGTGGGTGTCATAGCCACCGGTCATTCTGGTCATTCTGGTTGTTCCACTGTTCTGGTTGCTGGGCTTTTATATATATAGATATGCACAGCACATGGACACGTGCAATAGGGTAGTGAAGACATAGCGGAGAGGGTAAGGGCTGGGAAGATGGAGGTAAAGGGGGTAGGGAAGATATCTGTAATACTATCTATATATATAAAACCCTAAGAAACCAAATGACCAGTCGACTGGTCGCTATGACGTGCACTGACCACCAGGGGGTAGACATTCAACACAGGAGCTGCCCCTGGTGGTCAGTGCACTCCCACAGCTGGAGTACCGCTCAGCTGACCGACAGGCACCAGATGCTGGGCTCATGGCTGGCAAGTGCAGCTGCATCAGCATGAGCCTCTCCCGCCTCAGCGGCAGCGCTACCAAGCAGAGGCGGCAGCAGGTGAAGCGGGTCCGGAGTGCGTGGGAGCAGTGTGGCGCCCGGCCTGGGCTCGGGCTCCTCCCCGGCTGCCTGCACTTTGAGCACTACTACATGTCGGACTGCCGGTTTTGGGATCGGGTTGAAACCAGCAGTCCTACATCCCCTGAGGGGTCCCTGATTGCAAAAGGGCACAGGCCAGGCTGAGGGACCCCACGGGTGCACGAATCCGAATCCATGCACTGGACCTCCAGTGAACAATAAAAAGTTTATTTAAAAAAACAAAAGATAACTTCTTAGAATAAAATAAGAGGGCAATTGGCAATTAATGGACTTGAATTCCCAGATCATTTGTTTCCTCAAACATATTACAGCAGGTTTTTGACATAAGCAGTATGGGTGTTTTGTCTATTATAGGTGTAATAAATGAGTATTTTTAAATTTGACAGAAAAAGAAGAAATAAAAATACCCAGGACCCTAATTACCAGAAAGAACCACTACTAAAATATTGGTACATTTCCTTCCTGTCATTCTGCCCTGGGTTCCATTTTCATGGTTGTAATTCTCTGGTAAAAAACAAAAAATATATTTAATTTTAATATTAAAGTCTAAACATAAATTAATGTCTGTTGAAAACTGAGCAAATGTTGGAACAAAATACAACCCCCCCCCCCGATTCTACCAGTTAATCACAGTTACCATTTTCTTTCATATGCTTTTTTTCTTGCATATATGGGATTATGATGTTTAAGAAATATAGGAACAGTCCTGGCCAGTGTTGCTAAGTGGTTAGAGCATTGTCCTGCACACTAAAGGGTCATGGGTTTGATTCCTGGTCAAGGGCACATACATGGGTTTCAGATTTGATCCCTGGTCCAGGTTAGGGTGCATGGGGGAGGCAACCAATCTATGTGTCTCTCTACATTGATGTTTCTCTCGAGCATCTAGCTCTAGCTCTAGCTCTCCTCTCTCTCTCTCTCTCTCTCTCTCTCTTTCCCCCCTCCCTCCCTTCCTCCCTTTCACTCCCTGTACAAATCAATGGAAAAAAATAGACTTGGGTACAAAAAAAAAAGAAATACAGGAACTTGCTTAGAGGTAATCTGAAGAGAGGTCTGGTAATTAGTCATCGATGTCACTGTGGGGACAAAGGACTAACAGGAAAGGAGCCCCAGGGATCTTTCTGGGGTAATAAAATGTGCTATATCTTGACTGGACTAATAATTACATTGGTTTATACTTTGTCAAAATTCATTTAACTCTGCACTTAAAATCTCAGCTTTTTATCATAGGAAAATGACATCTCAATTTACAAAATGCCTAGATTTAAGTCATTCATTAAGTTATTTAGATGAATCTCAGAATTATTACTCCATTTCTTCAAGTCCTTTGTTTTGTTCTATTCAGAGTTGCTGCTGTAGAAGAAACAAGACATATTTCTTAGCAATTCTTGCATCAAAGGGTTCTAGCTCTGAAACTAGTTTCACTATTGATGCAAGTGCTAGAAAATGTTTGTCCTGGTTATTATTTAAACTAGAGGCCTGATGTCCATCCCTAACCCC